GCAATCAGAGACTCACCCCTGCAATCAGCCAAACATCTGAAGCTGATTGCAGGGGTTGTATTTAAGGAATGGCCAGACTCACAGTCAGGGCCTTGGTGTGTGTTTTTCCATGGGCCCCTGTACCTTGAATCCTGTATTCCTGTCTGACTTGTTGCCGACCCTGCCTGATCCTGACCTCTGCTGACTTCTCCTGCTTGATCCCTGGCTTGTGACCCTGACCATTCTCTGCCTGACCCCCCTGTACCGCGCTGCCCGTGAGTTACTGAACCCAGCTTGTGACCCCGACCACTCTCCCGCCTGTTCCTGGTACTCCGTTTGCCCGTTTGCTACTGACCCGGCCTGCCTGACTACTCTTTGTATTGTATGTATTGTTATCGGTGGGTGGTTTGGTTTGTTTGCACTGTGTTTATGTTTTAGTTTTTGCACTGCGTTTTGTATTGTTAGTCTTAATAAATGATATTGTTTATACCATATCTGAAGCCTGCGTTTCCCTGTGTCAGTCCACACACCTCTGGTCATACCTGGAGCCCTGACAGATACTAATCTCTCTAACAGTCCACTACAGTGCCTTGATAAAGTATTCATACCCCTTGACATGTTCCCCGTGTTGTCATGTGACAACCAACACCGTCAATGTATTTTATGGGGATTTGAGGTGATAGACCGACACAAAGTGAACAAAATTGGGAAGTGGGAGGAAAATGAGAAATGGTTTTCAAAATATAGATGATATACATAGAATTATAAAAGTATATATCAATATATATCGTTTAACATATAAAAAATATCGAAAGGTAAGATACAAAAGTGAGCGCTTATAATCAGCCGTGCACTCAAGGCAACCAAAGAAAATCCTTATTCAAAGTAACAAGAGATAGTGCAGCGCTATGAAGGATGAGACATAATATGAATAAACGATATTAAATGAACAATAAATCTAAACACATCAGCTGTAGATTATTAAATAGACTAAATATAATCATATGTGGAATGATAAATAGTCATGTATATTAAAATACATATAAATAAACTGAACCTCTCCAAAACCGAGTTTCTTGTCTTTCCTCCAACCCGCACACCACCCCCCATTGACTTCTCCATCACATCCAACAACGCCACCATCAAACCCGCCCTGCAGGCCAGAGTACTTGGTGTCATTCTGGACTCCAACCTATCCTTCCAGCCCCAAGTCCAATCACTAACAAACTCGCGCAGAATCCACCTCCGCAACATCGCCAAAATCCGCACGTTCCTAACCCCAGAAACCACTAAACAGCTCATCCACTCCCTCATCATATCACGACTCGACTACTGCAACTCCCTCCTCACTGGCCTGCCTCGCCGCTGGCTATCCCCGCTTCAGTCCATCCTGAATACGGCTGCCAGACTCATTCACCTTTCCAGCCGCTCCGTCTCCGCCACCCCCCTCTGCCAATCCCTCCACTGGCTCCACCCCCCTCTGCCAATCCCTCCACTGGCCTCCACTCAGTGTCCTCCACCCCCCTCTGCCAATCCCTCCACTGGCTTCCGATTGCGCAGCGGATCAAATTCAAAATCCTAACACTGACGTACAAAGCCGTCCACCATACTGCCCCGAACTACATCACTGACCTAATATCCAAGTACCACCCAACACGCACACTCCGCTCCTCACAAGACCTCCTCTCTAGTTCCCTGGTCTCCTCCTCCCATGCCCGCCTCCAGGACTTCTCCAGGGTGTCACCCATCCTCTGGAACTCCCTGCCCCAACCCATCAGATTATCACCTACTCTCCTCTCCTTTAGGCGCACCCTGAAAACCCACCTCTTCAGGGAAGCCTACCCCACCCCCTGCTAACCTGCCGACCTCCTCCACTCTTCTAACCACCCCATCCCCCACAGCTCTCTCCTCCTGTGCCACCATCCCCTCCCTCCTAGATTGTAAGCTCGAAAGAGCAGGGCCCTTGATCCCCTCGTGTTTTGCATTGTATTGTATTGTTATTGTTCTGTCCCTCATTGTAATGTACAGCGCTGAGTGAACTATTGGTGCTTTACAAATACTGTATAATAATATTAATAATAATATAAATATACAAGTGAAAATGTCCATAGGGGTGGCTAAATGGTGAAAAAAGTCCCCACTGCTGCAGACCGGTGCTAGTGCTTAACAGTGATGGAAAAAATGCGCACTCACCGGATGTGCACTATATAAGTGCGATATAAATGGAAAATCCTGGTGTCATCAGGTAGCCATCTGGGTCAACGGATGGAAAGCCCCCTCACAGGATGGTTAAGGTACTGATGTTCCTGGGGTGTCCAGAGTTCCCCTTATAGGATGGATGGGTGCTGCTCTCAGCAGATAAGGCAGGAAGCTCCCTCTCTGGATACACTGGGTATAGGGGCATCTAGGGAAATAATACTCAGAACAAAAAGATGCCCATAGTGTAGTAGGGTCAGATAAAAATTTATTATATGAATAAAATAGGATGCATCCAAGTGTTACAAGCAAGATGAAAAGCGGTGAAAAGGACTAACCGTCCCTGAATGAAAATGGCCGCCGGAGCTCCACGATGCTCCGACGGCGTGACGTCAACGGCGTGAGTAGGCTTCTCCTTACGCGTTACATGCCACGCACATCATCAGAGGGTGAGCCAATCCACCCAAGAAGTGAGTCCCCCACTCACATTTGTGTCAATATTTGATTCTTTCTTCTCATGTGACAACACTGAAGAAATTACACTTTGCTACAATGTGACGTAGTCAGTGTACAGCTTGTATAACATGGAAATTTGCTGTCCCCTCAAAATAATTCACCACACCGCCATTAAAATCTAAACCACCAGCAACAAAAGTGAGTCCACCCCTAAGTGACAAGGTCCAAATTGGACCCAAAGTGTCAATATTTTGTGTGGCCGCCATTATTTTCCAGCACTGCCTTAACCATCTTGGGCATGGAGGTCACAAGAGCTTCACAGGTTGTACTGGAGTCCTCTTTCACTCCTCCATGACGTCATCACGGAGCTGGTGGATGTTAGAGACCTTGCGTTTGAGGATGCCCCACAGATGCTCAATAGGGTTTAGGTCTGGAGACGTAGTGGCGGACTGACCATTTAGCCACTCGGGCACTGCCCGAGGGCCCGGGGTCAGTAGGGGGCCCCATGAGATTCCCCTGGTACCTTTCATAGGCTTTTTTGGGTTATGTTTGAGTATGGGTAAGGACACAGGGGTCCAATGATTTCCTATTGTCTGGGGGCCCCATGAGTTGTCAGTCCGCCCCTGAGACATACAGAGTTGATGGGAAGATGGATGGAGCCAAATACAGGGCAATCTTAGAAGAAAACCTGTTAGAGTCTGCAAAAGCCTTCAGACCGGGGCGGAGGTTCCCCTTCCAGCAGGACAACGACCCGAAACATCCAGCCAGAGCTACAATGGAATGGTTCCGATCAAAGCATCTTCATGTGTTAGAATGGCCCAGTCACAGTCCAGACCCAAATCCAATGGAGAATCTGTGGCCAGATCTGAAAATTGCTGTTCCCAGATGCCCTCCATCCAATCTGACAGAGATGAGCGATTCTGCAAAGAACGGGCAGTAATGTCCCTCTCTAGATGTGCAAAGAGACATCCCCAAAAAGACTTGCAGCTGGAATGGCAGCCAAAGGGGGTCCTACAAAGTATTGACTCTGGAGGGGCCCAATACAAATGCCGTCTCACTTTTCATGGATTTATTGGTCACAAACGTTGGAAACCATTTCTCATTTTTATTCCACTTCACAATTATGTGCCACTTTGTGTCGGTACATCACATCCAATCCCAATAAATGCATTGTAACATGACAACATGGGGGGGGGGATACATTGTAACATGACAACATGGGGGACATTTCAGGGGGGTAGGGAAATATATTGTAATATGACAACATGGGGGACATTTCGGGTGGGGGGGGGATACATTGTAACATGACAACATGGGGGACATTTCAGGGGGAGGGGAATACATTGTAATATGACAACATGGGGGACATTTCAGGGGGGAGGGGAATACATTGTAATATGACAACATGGGGGACATTTCAGGGGGGGGGAATACATTGTAACATGACAACATGGGGGGTATTTCAGGGGGGAGGGGAATACATTGTAATATGACAACATGGGGGACATTTCAGGGGGAGATACATTGTAACATGACAACATGGGGGACATTTCAGGGGGGAATACATTGTAACATGACAACATGGGGGACAACATTGTAACATGACAACATGGGGGACATTTCAGGGGGGGGGGGAATACATTGTAGGATAACAACATGGGGGACATTTCAGGGAGGAGGGGGAATACATTGTAACATGACAACATGGGGGACATTTCGGGGGGGGGGGGGGATACATTGTAACATGACAACATGGGGGACATTTCAGGGGGGGGGTACATTGTAATATGACAACATGGGGGACATTTCAGGGGGGAGGGGAATACATTGTAGGATAACAACATGGGGGACATTTCAGGGGGAATACATTGTAACATGACAACATGGGGGACATTTCAGGGGGAGGGGGAATACACTGTAATATGACAACATGGGGGACATTTCGGGGGGGGGGGAATACACTGTAATATGACAACATGGGGGACATTTCAGGGGGGGAATACATTGTAACATGACAACATGGGGGACATTTCAGGGGGGAATACATTGTAACATGACAACATGGGGGACATTTCAGGGGGGGGAATACATTGTAACATGACAACATGGGGGACATTTCAGGGGGGAATACATTGTAACATGACAACATGGGGGACATTTCAGGGGGGAGGAGAACTTTTTCAAGGCTCTGTATCTGAGTTCCCAGCTATGGTGACTACAGGGAGGGGGAGGGAGGAGGACAACTCTGCGGAAGTGGGAGCGGGTACCTGTCAAATTCAGGTACCAAGCCCCACCCCCCCTCCCTAAAGGTCCACAGTCTCTGGTCATCTCCTATATTATGTCTGCAGTCTCTGGTCATCCCTGTACTGTGTCCGCAGTCTCTGGTCATCCCCTGTACTGTGTCCGCAGTCTCTGGTCATCCCCTGTACTGTGTCCGCAGTCTCTGGTCATCTCCTGTACTATGTCCGCAGTCTCTGGGTCATCTCCTGTACTATGTCCGCAGTCTCTGGTCATCTCCTGTACTGTCCGCAGTCTCTGGTCATCTCCTGTACTATGTCCGCAGTCTCTGGTCATCTCCTGTACTGTGTCCGCAGTCTCTGGTCATCTCCTGTACTATGTCCGCAGTCTCTGGTCATCTCCTGTACTATGTCCGCAGTCTCTGGTCATCTCCTGTACTATGTCCGCAGTCCATAGGTTCAGAATTTTTTTTTCTAGTTTTCCTCCTCTAAAATCTTGGTGCGTCTTCTGGAGCGAATTCCGAATGATTTTTCGCCTGAAAATTGAAACGTTGTACGTTCTGTAAACCGATGGTGCCAACAATGATTTAGAAAATCGGTCGTTTTTCACATATTTTCCAACATGCCTGATAAATGAAATGGGGAGGAACCACGATAATCAGCCGATGCCATTGCCCCACTGACAGAGTGAAAATTGATTGATTGATTCTTAGGTCCGATTTTCGTACGAAAATCGTTCGGAATTTGCACCATGTATGGCCTGCATTAGAGAGATACAATGTATAATAGAATGTATATAATGATACAATGTATAATGGGATGTATATAATGATACAATGTATAATAATGGATTGTATATAATGATACAATGATACAATGTATAATGGGATGTATATAATGATACAATGTATAATGGAATGTATATAATGATACAATGTATAATGGGATGTATAATGATACAATGTATAATGGAATGTATATAATGATACAATGTATAATGATACAATGTATAATGGAAGTATATATAATGATACAATGTATAATGGGATGTATATAATGATACAATGTATAATGGGATGTATATAATGATACAATGTATAATGGAATGTATATAATGATACAATGTATAATAGGATGTATATAATGATACAACGTATAATGGGATGTATATAATGATACAATGTATAATGGAATGTATATAATGATACAATGTATAATGGGATGTATATAATGATACAATGTATAATAGAATGTATATAATGATACAATGTATAATGGGATGTATATAATGATACAATGTATAATGGGATGTATATAATGATACAATGTATAATGGGATGTATATAATGATACAATGTATAATGGAATGTGTATAATGATACAATGTATAAATTATTATGTGTATAATGATACAATGTATAATAGGATGTATATAATGATACAATGTATAATGGAATGTATATAATGATACAATGTATAATGGGATGTATATAATGATACAATGTATAAATAGGATGTATAGAATGATACAATGTATAATGGGATGTATATAATGATACAATGTATAATGGGATGTATATAATGATACAATGTATAATGGAATTTATATAATGATACAATGTATAATGGGATGTATATAATGATACAATGTATATGTAAGGGACCGCCCGGCGGTACCACTAGCACTCCACTGGTCGGATGTTCCCAGCGCACGGAGTCTAAGCCCCAGGGTACTTGTTCACCAGGGCCCCTGATGGTGGGGATGGACTTGGAGTACCCCAGGACCAGGTCGTGACTACTGAGGGACACCCGTCAGTGGTAGGGGTATTCGCCAGGGGCTTCCACGGGAGAGAGCCAGGTATGAGGAGGTCTGGAGACCCCGTAGAGAGGGACGGATGGATGGATGGATGGATGGCTGAGCAGGAGCAGGGTCATACAAGCCGGGTCGGTAACTATGGGGACGGCGCGGTACAGAGCAGCGGGCAGAGAATAGTCGGGTCACACGCCAGGTCAGCAACAGCAGGTCAGATCCAATAGGGGGCATACAGGAGAGAGGTCAGGCAAGCAAGGGTCAAAACAGGAGAAAACAGCAAGGTCAGGGCACAATCCGGGTCAGCAACTTACTTCAGACAGGTTCACAGGTTCACAGGATACATAAGGCCAAAAGGCACTGAATGACAGCTCAGGGCCGTTTAAATATCCCGCCCTGCGCTGTCATTGGTGCCAGGCGCGCGCCCGCGGGGTCACTACTGCGCATGCGCGAACCTGATTGCCGCGGTCGGCCAAAGTCCCGGCGCTCGCGTACAGGGAGGTGTACTGCGCCTGCGCCGGGACCAGCGGCGCGACGATCCCCGACAGTATAATAGAATGTATATAATGATACAATGTATAATAGGATGTATATAATGATACAATGTATAATGGAATGTAAATAATGATACAATGTATAATGGGATGTATATGATACAATGTATAATAGAATGTATATAATGATACAATGTATAATGGAATGTATATAATGATAAAATGTATAATGGAATGTATATAATGATACAATGTATAATGGGATGTATATAATGATACAATGTATAATGGAATGTATATAATGATACAATGTATAATGGGATGTATATAATGATACAATGTATAATGGAATGTATATAATGATACAATGTATAATAGAATGTATATAATGATACAATGTATAATGGGATGTATATAATGATACAATGTATAATGGAATGTATATAATGATACCATGTATAATGGAATGTATATAATGATACAATGTATAATAGAATGTATATAATGATACAATGTATAATGGGATGTATATAATGATACAATGTATAATGGGATGTATATAATGATACCATGTATAATGGAATGTATATAATGATACAATGTATAATAGAATGTATATAATGATACAATGTATAATGGGATGTATATAATGATACAATGTATAATGGGATGTATATAATGATACCATGTATAATGGAATGTATATAATGATACAATGTATAATAGAATGTATATAATGATACAATGTATAATGGGATGTATATGATACAATGTATAATAGGATGTATATAATGATACAATGTATAATGGGATGTATATGATATAAAATGTATAATGGAATGTATATAATGATACAATGTATAATGGGATGTGTATAATGATACAATGTATAATAGAATGTATATAATGATACAATGTATCTCTCTCCTCCATTCATAGAGAGAAAAAAAAAAACAAAGGGACCGGGCTGTACAGTGGCTGATCACTGTGATAGCCAATCAGAGGGTATCACAGCGATCAAGTGACCCGGAATCAAGAGAATCGTTAGAATGGGACCCGGGGCTCTCAGTGACACTGCGGTCCTTGTGCTGGGAGTGCACAGTGCGGCACACTCCCCGCACAAAGACAGGTACGCAAATATGCGGCCCCACGGAAAAAAAAGCCCAGTTCTGTGAGGCCGCGTATTTGTGTGACGTTGGCGTCAAGGGGTTAGATTCATCTTTACCTGAAAATGAACTTTCATCGAAGTATATCACCTAAAGGATAAAAGGGCCTTTTTTTTTTTTGGATGGAGCGGAGAGGGATCAGACCCCCTGTCAGGTTTTCATTGGTGTCTGTGACCCCTGATAGGGAGATTCACCCTCTCTACTGGTAATGTTTAGAAAATCCCCATTTGTTGTCACCAGAACAGGAAACAGAGGGGAAATCTACTAATGGAGACCCTAGTGACATCTGGTGACAACTCAATTTGGAGGGATTTCCTCTCACTTCCTGTTGTGGCTATGGGACAGGAAGTGAAGGGAAATGTCCATAATGGGGACACAGATAACCCTCCATTACTCTATTATCCAAAATGAAAAAAAAAGGTTTGCCTTTAGTTCTATTTGAATTCTGAGCCGTATATCAATCTCACCCACTAGGTGGCAGTGTCTCACCAGAGATTGAACAGTGAAGGAGAGATCATAGAAAGTTTCTGTAATAAAAGATAAGAAATAACATGAAATATTCTCCTACCTCGGGCTTCATGTTTCATCTGGTGATTCAGCCAGGAAGTCTGTTGTTTTTCAAGAGAAAAACCTCTCCAGCAGAATGTGGCAGTTACAGGGATGAGAAAAACCATTTACCACGGACAGGGGTGCTGACAATGATCAGCTTTCATTCATTTTAATCTTTTATCCGAAATTATGTAATGCCAGTGTGAGCAGGAGGTCGGCTTCAATTTGTTAGTGTGTCTAAATCTACTAGTCCATCTAACACTCCCCTCCTCTCCCCTGAGACTGACAATGCTGCTGTGCCCCCTGTGCTCCTTCATTCAGAGCGGGGGCGCTCTAATACAGGAGGTGTGTTGCTGCCTAGATCACCAGGTGAAAACAGAGGGGGAAAAAAGACTAAAAAAGAAAACTAATGCAGCTGCAACGTTTAATGATTGATAAGCTGCAATATAGAACATTTTTGGTGTTTGGGGTTTAATACGGCTTTAATGAAATGTTGAGAAAGGAAATGAGGAAAGGCCCGATTCATAAATCTGTGGAAGAGTTTTCTCGACTTCTCTGACATGGAAGTTTATGCAGACAAATGTGAGAGAAGGAAGCTTGCAGCTGCACGGCGCGGTGGGTTAGCGGAGTTACCTCTGCGATATGTAGCAGTATTTAACACATCTCCCACTGATGGGCGGGCACAGACAACTCACCTCCCACTGATGGGGCGGGCACAGACAACTCACCTCCCACTGATGGGGCGGGCACAGACAACTCACCTCCCACTGATGGGGCGGGCACAGACAACTCACCTCCCACTGATGGGGCGGGCACAGACAACTCACCTCCCACTGATGGGGCGGGCAAAGCCAACTCACCTCCTACTGATGGGGCGGGCACAGACAACTCACCTCCCACTGATGGGGCGGGCACAGACAACTCACCTCCCACTGATGGGGCGGGCACAGACAACTCACCTCCCACTGATGTACTGATGGGGCGGGCACAGACAACTCACCTCCCACTGATGGGGAGGACACAGACAACTCACCTCCCACTGATGGGGCGGGCACAGACAACTCACCTCCCACTGATGGGGCGGGCAAAGCCAACTCACCTCCTACTGATGGGGCAGGCACAGACACAACTCACTTCCCACTGATGGGGCGGGCACAGACAACTCACCTCCCACTGATGGGGCGGGCATAGACAACTCACCTCCCCCTGATGGGGCGGGCATAGACAACTCACCTCCCACTGATGTACTGATGGGGCGGGCACAGACAACTCACCTCCCACTGATGGGGAGGACACAGAAAACTCACCTCCCACTGATGGGGCGGGCACAGACAACACACCTCCCACTGATGGGGCAGGCACAGACAACTCACCTCCTACTGATGGGGCGGGCAAAGACAACTCACCTCCTGATGGGGCGGGCACTGACAACTCACCTCCCACTGATGGGGCGGGCACAGACAACTCACCTCCCACTGATGGGGCGGGCACAGACAACTCACCTCCCACTGATGGGGCGGGCACAGACAACTCACCTCCCACTGATGGGGCGGGCACAGAGAACTCACCTCCCACTGATGGGGCGGGCACAGACAACTCACCTCCTACTGATGGGGCGGGCACAGACAACTCACCTCCTACTGATGGGGCGGGCAAAGACAACTCACCTCCTGATGGGGGGGGGCACAGGCAACTCACCTCCCACTGATTTTTTTTTTTTTTTTTTTTAAGTCCGCAAACGTGCAACTATAACGAAAAAACCCGTAAGTGTTCACAAAAAAAGTGCAAGTGCAAAACACCACACAAAAAAGTGCACTTAGGGGTGTGCTGTGTCCTACCCCTAAAGGGGCTTGGACCGCTTACCCTGATCCCCCGGGGCACGAAGCTCCTGACGGGGACAAGGTTCCCAATTGGTCCTCCTGGCCAAAAGGCCTGGTGGACCACCGTTCCCTATGCCCAGCCGAAGCCGGACATCCAGTACTAGGCAAGGGGACTCTCCTGAAGAAGAGTCCCCTAGGGATCAGGGGAGGAAGGAACCGTAGGGCCACACATCCTCCCCCTAGACTTCAGGGTAGGCCCGAGGACCCACACCCTCCATCCGTGAAAAACACACACATAAGAGCAAAAAAGTGACAAACGTGGGAGTGCATAATAAATAAAGATAAAGAAAAAATAAAAAAGTGGTTCCGTGCCGAATTGTGCACAGACCAGGCCCTGAGGCCTGTGTAGCAAAAATTGCCCTGGTCCTAGCCAAAAGGCCTGGTCCTTAGGGCGCTGTGCAAAAAGAAGTGAAAAACAGTGACCATGTGTCATCTTCACACCGTGGGGTCCCACACCCAAGTGTTACTAGTGACACCCCTGAGAGCGTCTTCCCCAGGGGGCACTGAGTTTGCGGACTTTTTGCGTCCCCAGCCCCAGGCCAGACCAAGGTAGATCCGTCCAAATCAGGAGGTACTGGGTCTTTCCAGCTTCACCAGAGGAATTACTCCCAAGGCCCCAGAGCTCATCATGGCGCTCCCTGGTTTCTGTCCCTCCGGTTCAGCCTTCCGGACCCCCATCATACCAGTGAGGGTACTATACAACAACCATCCCCGCAAAGCTAGAATGGTCAGGAGCACCCCCACTGGACACTGATAAGAACAGATACTACACTTGATCTTAGCCAAAAGGCTGAGAGAAGGAAGCTTGCAGCTGCACGGCGTGGTGGGTTAGCGGAGTTACCTCTGCGATATGTAGCAGTATTTAACACATCTCCCACTGATGGGGCGGGCACAGACAACTCACCTCCCACTGATGGGGCGGGCACAGACAACTCACCTCCCACTGATGGGGCGGGCACAGACAACTCACCTCCCACTGATGGGGCGGGCACAGACAACTCACCTCCCACTGATGGGGCGGGCACAGACAACTCACCTCCCACTGATGGGGCGGGCAAAGCCAACTCACCTCCTACTGATGGGGCGGGCACAGTCAACTCACCTCCCACTGATGGGGCGGGCACAGACAACTCACCTCCCACTGATGGGGCGGGCACGGACAACTCACCTCCCACTGATGGGGCGGGCAAAGACAACTCACCTCCTACTGATGGGGCGGGCACAGAGAACACACCTCCCACTGATGGGGTTGGCACAGACAACTCACCTCCTACTGATGGGGCGGGCACAGACAACTCACCTCCTACTGATGGGACAGGCACGGACAACACACCTCCCACTGATGATGGGCGGGCATAGAGAACACACCTCCCATTGATGGGGCAGGCACAGACAACATACCTCCCACTGATGGGGCAGCTACAGACAGTACACCTCCCACTGATAGGGCGGGCACAGACAACACACTTCCCACTGATTGGGTGGACAGAAATGACACACCTCCCATTGATAGGCAGACATTAACAACACTCCTCCCACTGATTGAGTAGGCACAGACAGTGAAACAGAATGGAGCATGAGAGGGAGGTTGCAGTCCTTAGAGTGATGTCATATTAGCATGGCTCTCCACAAACACTGAGAAAAGCCATTTGTTACATACAATCTGGATGAGGTCAGATTTCGGGTTTCCATCTGTACTGCGGGGTGTCCATCTGTATTGCGGGGTGTCATCTGTACTGCGGGGTGTCCATCTGTACTGCGGGGTGTCCATCTGTATTGCGGGGTGTCATCTGTACTGCGGGGTGTCCATCTGTATTGCGGGGTGTCATCTGTACTGCGGGGTGTCCATCTGTACTGCGGGGTGTCCATCTGTTCTGCGGGGTGTCATCTGTACTGCGGGGTGTCCATCTGTACTGTGGGGTGTCATCAGTACTGCGGGATGTCATCTGTACTGCAGGGTGTCCATCTGTACTGTGGGGTGTCATCAGTACTGCGGGGTGTCATCAGTGCACTCTGTAACTGTAGAATGTTCCTGTGACCTCTATAGTGAGATGACGGATCACACACTCCGGGGTCTGTATCCAGCCAATAAACCCGGAACACAACTACCTGTCCTATTTATGAGGACGACAGTAATAGTAAATGTCTTGGTGTCACTGTTCCGGAGCTACAGCCTGGGCCCGGCCCCTTTCTGCACCCTGCAAAATGGGGGGACCCACCTGGGAGGGTGACACCGTCACTGGGCTTTGTAATGTCCGCAGTCTCTGACCATCTCCTGTAGTATGTCTGCAGTCTCTGATCATATCCTCCAGCATGTCTGCAGTCTCTGACCATCTCATGTAGTTTGCAGTCTCTGGTCATCTCCTGTAGTATGTCTGCAGTCTCTGACCATCTCCTGTACCATGTCTGCAGTCTCTGACCATCTCCTGTACTATGTCTGCAGTCTCTGACCCTCTCCTGTATCATGTCTGCAGTCTCTGACCATCTCCTGTACTATGTCTGCAGTCTCTGACCATCTCCTGTAGTATGTCTGCAGTCTCTGACCATCTCATGTAGTTTGTTTGCAGTCTCTGACCATCTCCTGTACTATGTCTGCAGTCTCTGACCATCTCCTGTACTATGTCTGCAGTCTCTGACCATCTCATTCAAACCTCAAAGCAACGCTCTGAAAAGTGATCCTGCTGCCTCTTGAATTACTCTTTTTTTTAAAGATTTTAATGGGGTTAATGTGCTGCAACCCTGAGGCGAGTGTTTCATTGCTGCGTTGCATCACTTTGAAGTCAATGCGCCTGTGTGCGGCGCGCTGCGATGAATGTCACAAAGAAAGGTTGATGTGTGATTTTGGGCAGGGAGGGTGTTGGCAGCCCATTCATGCTGCACCAATGCATGACGTGACACGCATCAACGCACTGCCAGGCTGTGAATGGGCCCCTTATACAATGAAGGAAATGTGTATTTGCTCCCTGGCTGATGTTGAATGTTCGCCCCTCACACAGAAATGATCAATCTAACAATGGAATGTTCGCCCCTCACACAGAAATGATCGGTCTAACAATGGAATGTTCGCCCCTCACACAGAAATGATCGGTCTAACAATGGAATGTTCGGTGTAACACTGAGAGACAGAATACAACAACAAATTCAGCAGAAATGCATCTAACAAATGATGACGGATCTGCATGTTCATGAGGGAAAGAAGGACTTGATCCCCTTCACAAAACATGACTTAGTACTTGGTGACCAATCCCTTGTTGGCAATCACAGAGGTCAGATGTTTCCTGGAGTTGGCCCCCAGGTTCGCACACATCTCAGGAGGGATTTTGGCCCACTCCTCTTGGCAGATCCTCTCCAAGTCATTAAGGTTTGGTGGCTGACGTTTGGCAACTTGAACTTTCAGCTCCCTCCACAGATTTCCAATCGGATGAAGGTCTGGGGACTGGCTAGGCCACTCCAGGACCTTAATGTGCTTCTTCTTGAGCTGCTCCTTTGTTGCCTTGGCCGTGTGTTTTGGGTCATTGTCATGCTGGAACATCCATCCACGACCCATTTTCAATGTCCTGGCTGAGGAAAGAAGGTTCTCACCCAAGATTTGATGGTACATTGCCTCGTCCATTGTCCCTTTGATGCGGTGCAGTTGTCCTGTCCCCTTAGCAGAAAAACACCCCCAAAGCAGAATGTTTCCTCCACCATGTTTCACAGTTGGGATGGTGTTCTTGGGGTCATAGGCAGCATTCCTCCTCCTCCAAACACGGCGAGTTGAGTTGATGCCAAAGAGCTGGATTTTGGTCTCCTCTGACCACAACACTTCCAACCAGTCCTCCTCTGCATCATTCAGATGTTCAGTGGCAGACTTCAGACGGGCCTGGACATGTGCTTTCTTGAGCAGAAGGACCTTGCGGGCACTGCAGGATTTCAGTCCTTGTCGGCGTAGTGTGTTACCAATTGTTTTCTTGGTGACTGTGGTCCCAGCTGCCTGGAGATCATTGACAAGATCCTCACGTGTATTATTATTATATAGTATTTATATAGCGCCAAAAGGTTTGCTCAGCGCTGTACATTATAGTGGGGGACAGAACATGAGACAATACAGTAACAATACAATACACAAGGGGATCGAGGGCCCTGCTCCTTGGAGCTTACAATCTAGGAGGGAGGGGATAGTGGTACAGGAGGAACTGGTTGTGGGGGATGGAGTGGTGGGAGGAGTGGAGGAGGTCAGTTGCAAGGTGAGGGTGGGGTAGGCTTCCCTGAAGAGGTGGGTTTTCAGGGTGCGCCTAAAGGTGAGGAGGGTAGGTGACAGTCTGATGGATTGGGGTAGTGAGTTCCAGAGGATGGGGAAATTCCTGCAGAAGTCCTGCAGTCGGGCGTGGGAGGTGGAGACCAGGGAGCTAGGAAGTAGGAGGTCTTGTGAGGAGCGAAGATTACGGGTTGGGTGGTATTTGGGTATCAGGTCGGTGAGGTAGTTTGGGGCGGCATTATGAATGGCTTTGTACAGTTGCAAGAAAAAGTATGTGAACCCCTTGGGATTGCGTGGAGTTTTGCATGAATTGGGCATAAAAATGTGCTCTGAACGTCATCTAAGTCACAACAATAGAAGAACACAGTCTGCTGAACATAATACTACACAAACATTAGATGTTGCCATGGTTTAATTGCACATAACATGTAAACATTCACAGTGCAGGGAGGAAAAAGTATGTGAACCTTTGGAGTTAATAACTGGTTGACCCTCCTTTGGCAGCAATAACCTCAACCAAACGTTTCCTGTAGTTGCAGATCAGACCTGCACAAGGATCTGGAGTCATTTTGGACCACTCCTCTTCACAAAACTGTTTCAGTGTAGCAATATTCTTGGGATGTCTGGTGTGAATCGCTCTCTTAAGGTCATGCCACAGCATTTCAATCGGGTTTGAGGTCAGGACTCTGACTGGGCTACTCCAGAAGGTGTATTCTGTGCTGTTGCAGCCATTGTTTTGTTGAATTACTTGTATGCTTTGGGTCATTGTCCTGTTGCATCACCCATCCTCTGCGGAGCTTCAGTTGGCGGACAGATGGTCGTATGTTTTCCTGCAAAATGTCTTGATAAACTCTGGAATTCATTTTCCCATCAATGACAACAATCCGTCCAGGCCCTGAGGCAGCAAAGCAGACCCAAACCATGATGCTCCCTCCGCAATGTTTCACAGTGGGGATGAGGTTTTGATGTTGGTGTGCTGTGCCTTTTTTTCTCCACACATAGTGTTGTGTGTTCTTCCCAAACAACTCAATCTTGGTTTCATCTGTCCACAGTATATTTTGCCAGTAGTGCTGTGGAACATCCAGGTGCTCTTTTGCAAACTTGCAAACGTGCTGCAATATTCTTTTTGGACAGCAATGGCTTCCTCCGTGGTGTCCTCCCATGTACTCCATTCTTGTTTAATGTTTTCCTTATTGTAGATGTGTCAACAAAAATGTTAGCATGTGCCAGAGATTTCTGTAGGTCTTTAGCTGACACTCTGGGATTCTTCTTTCCCTCATGCAGCATTCTGCGCTGTGCTCTTGCAGTCATTTTTACAGGACGACCACGCCTAGGGAGAGTAGCAACAGTGCTAAACTTTCTCCATTTGTAGACAGTCTGTTTTACCGTGGACACATGAACATCAAGGCTTTTGGAGATACTTTTGTAACCCTTTCCAGCTTCATGCATGTCAGCAATTCTTGATCGTAGGTCTTCTGAGAGCTCTTTTCTGCGAGGCATGGTTCACATCAGACAGTGCTTCTTGGAACCAGTAAACCAAAACAGGTGTTTGTTTTTTAAGGGCAGGACAGCTGTCAGCAACACATCCAATATCATCACACTGATTGGAGTCAAGGTTGGCTCACTCCTGGCTCCAATTAGCAATGGGAGAAGTCATTAAGCTAGGACCTCACATACTTTTTCCTCCCTGCACTGTGAATGTTTGCAACTGTATGTCTGTGTTAGTAGTTTGAATTTTATACATTGGGCAATCGGAAGCCAGTGGAGGGAATGACAAAGGGGGGTGGCAGAAGTGGATCGGTTGGTAAGGTGGATGAGTCTGGCCGCTGAGTTCAGGATAGACTGAAGCGGGGATAGTCTGTGATGAGGTAGGCCGGTGAGGAGGGAGTTGCAGTAGTCCAGGCGTGAGATAATAAGGGAGTGAACGAGTTGTTTAGTAGTGTCTGGGGTTAGGAACGAACGTATCTTGGAGATGTTGCGGAGGTTGAGCCTGCATGAGTTTGCCAGCGATTGGACATGGGGTTGGAAGGCTAGATTGGAGTCTAGAGTGACACCTAGGACTTTGGCTTGCAGGGTGGGACTGATGGTGGCGTTGTTGGTCGTGATGGAGAGGATGGGGGGGGGGTGGGCGCGGGCTGGGGGAAAAATCAGGAGCTCGGGTTTGAAAAGGTTTAATTTGAGCAAGTGGAGCGACATCCAGTCTGATATGTCGTTCAGTAGGTGGGTAATACGGGCGGAGACTGAGGGGGTGAGGTGAGGGGTGGAGAGATAGATTTGCGTGTCGTCGGCGTAGATTTTAGTAGTTGAAGCCGTGGGAGTGTATCAGTTGGCCAAGGGAGGAGGTGTAGATGGAGAAGAGAAGGGGCCCGAGGACAGAGCCTTGGGGGACCCCAACAGAGTGGGGGAGGTGGTAGCGTTATAGGTAACACTGAAGGAGCGCTGAGATAGATAGGAGGAGAGCCAGGAGAGAGTGGAGTCTCTGATGCCAAGGGAGTGTAGTTTTTTGAGGAGGGGGGTGGTTGACTGTGTCGAAGGCCACAGAGAGGTCGAGGAGTAGGAGGACTGAGTAGTGGCCATTAGCTTTGGAGGTTAGCAGGTTGTTGGTGAGTTGAGTAGGGCGGTTTCGGTGGAGTGTAGGGGACGGAAGCCAGACTGTAGTGGATCGAGGAGGTTGTTGTCTGTGAGACAGGAGCTTAGGCGATCGTAGACTAAGCGCTCGAGGAGTTTGGATGTAAATCGCAGCAGGGAGATGGGTCTAAGGTTGGTGGGGTCCAGGGAGGGTTTTTGAGTATGGGAGTGATGTGCGTGTGCTTCGAGGGGAGGGGAATACGCCAGTAGAGAGGGAGAGATTGAAGATGTGGGTGAGGGAGCGTAGGATGGAGGGGGAGGGGTGACCGGAGGAGTTGTGTGGGGACAGGGTCAAAGGGGCAGGTGGTGAGGCGGGCTTCTGAGAAGACCTTAGTGACCTCTTCAATGGTAGCAAGGCCAGAGGAGTGGAGTGTTGAGGGGGTTTTAGTGTGTGGGATGTTAGGTGTGGTGGGGGTCAGGGCAGTTGCGAGGTCAGAAGGAGGGAGGCTAGGTGGGGTGGAAGATTGAGCATTGGCGATGTCCTTACGAATTGCGTCGATCTTATTTAGGAAGTGTAGTTCTGGGATGACTCCTCACTGTTCTCATGATCATTGACACTCCACGATCTTGCATGGTGTACCAGACCTAGGGAGACTGACACTTGTTTTGTGTTTCTTCCATTTGTGAATGATTGCACCGACTGTTGTCACCTTCTCACCAAGCTGCTTGGCCATAGTTTGGTAGCCCAGTCCAGCCTGGTGTAGGTCTACAATCTTGTCCCTGACATCCTTGGA